GCACTCAGGGCCTTTGAGCAGTGAGGGATCTTTTTCGTGTCAGCACCTACTGCGACAAGGGGCTTCGGTTTATAGGTCTCATCCGAAAGATCGGTCTCCATGTCCCGCAGTGGGATTCGTACCCGCGACGTAAGGATTGACTCCTTACTTCGCGACTCTAGAGCAGACGCTCTAACCACTGCGCCAAGCGGGCGACCACTGACGGCCGAGAAAACATTGGATTGAATTTTGTCTGAAATTCATTTTCAATCCACCCCACCTACGCTAGAAGGCACATTATTATACTGATTGACACAGAGGGCAAATAATTTCAATATCTGTTTGAAAATAATAGATAAATCAGAATTTTCTGTTCAGCCTTTAACGGAAATATATGAGGGGGTCAATGTTTGATTTCTGCTTAAATGATTTATGTATGCTTGCGGGGAGGGGGTTCAATGATGTCGTAAATAAATAAGGAAGTTGTCAAATATTTTTTTTTGTCAAACAAATGAAGCTCTCGTCATCCTAAAATTAATTGGTACAAAGCATGATCTGACTCGACACCCCTCCCCCCTTTGAAAAAGATAGCCGTTTCCTGAAAAAAATTACTTCTATTACTTTTACCAGTGTCATTAAGATTATATTATAGGGTTAGGATTATATCAAATTAAATTTCAACCAACATGTATTTGGAAATTAAAATTATTTTTCTTTTGGACCATACATTCAGACTTAGTTTTTGAAAACAGCTCATGTGGATTAAAAATGAATTTTAAACTAGAATTTCAATCAAATAATTTCTGTTATAACTGCAAGCCTCCTCCGTTATCCACACTGTACAGTCATGTACCCCCCCCCCAAAAAAAAAAAAAATTAAAATATTATTTTCTTTTCTAGCTATATACACAACATGGGATTTTGGTGTTTGGTGATTAAACTATTTTTCTTTATCTAAAATTGTTCAGGTAAACTGTCACCCCTTTTCTAAGGAAATAGGAAAATATCTGAAAAAAAATTACACTTCACTGTTTATTCTGTGTCAATAAAGGAGCCAAAGAGATTACATTTCAGGCTTTCTGGAAAGCCAAACTTGTATAACTTACGTTTACATTAACATGTACATGTAGTTAAATAACTCAATAGGATACAGGGTGCAGTGTGGTTTTAAAAATGGTAAGTTGATCAACCTATGAAAAAAATATTCGTATCTATAGATTACCTGAAATTTTTTTATCTGAACCTGTAAATCCTATTATGTAAAGATTTCATAAAGAAGTAGGGTTTCATTTTGTTTTCACAACCAAATTTCTTTATATATTACAACATAAGCCTTTCATTGAAATTTTTCTATAATAAGAACAAAATACACTGTAGAAATGTGGGTCTTTCTTTCTCTCTCTTATTTTGCAAATCAAAAGGGGGGAGGGAGTGCAGCAGGAACCAGTCCAAGCACCCCCTAATAAAAACGTCCCTGTCAAAGTGTCCCCTGATTTTAGTCAAAGTGCCCCCTAACATATTTTTTATAGAAAAAATACTGCCACCAAATATTACTTTAAGATTATTTAAATTTCCTTGATCCCAGTCTTAGATGACATACAGACACTTAAACTGTAAAGTACTGGGTACTGAGCACATGGACAGTACTAGTAAGTAATTTGATTGATTCATTATCATGCCTGGAGTGATGAAAGTATTTCAAAAAGTCTGTCATATTCTAAAAAACATAATTGTTTCACACTCATGATGGTTTAATTAATTGTGTCAGTGTCCCTTATGCAAAGAATATAATTGCTTTAATAAATTCTCAAATAATTTTATAATATTTTAGATGTTAATGACTAAAATGATTGATCATTATCGAAATAAAATATCTCTTACAGACATGATGAAAAAAAGGCTATAATCTATCTTCATCTTAAACATAGGATATGGAGATAACGAACAATTTTCAATCTCAAAGTCCATAAAACGATACAAAATAGGAGCAAAGCAAACACAGACCTCCCAAACATCAGAGGTGGGATCAGGTGCCATGGAGGTGTGAGCATCCCCTGCTGACCGGTCACACCCACTGTAAGCTCCTTGTCATGATTGTGAAATAATGGAAAAATCCATCGTCAATTCAGTGTATAAATAATGGACTAACAATTTGTATGAAAAATGTCAGTCAGCATTTTAAGATTTACATATTGTAAATCGATTGTAAATCAATTGTAAATCAATATGATTTACAATATGTATATCAATTTGATTTACAATTGTGTAAATCAACTTTCAGTTACTTTTCTTGGCTGTACAGCATTTTAAGTCACAAAGTACATGTAGTATAATTTGATAATAAGGACTTTCAAGTAGGCATAATTCTGCTTCAGGCATAATTTTAGTTTTTAAGTGTCATTAGGGGTAGCTTCATTGCATTTTTTCGCCTCAAATCCCTGCTTGACACAGTGGTTTGAGTGTCTGATCTAGAGTCGCGAAGTAAGGAGTCAATCCTTACATCAAATGTTCAAATCCCACTGTGGGACTTGGAGACGGTCCTTCCGATTAGACTGTATAAACTGAGGTCAGTGTACGTCGAGTGTACAACAATGAAAACTATATGCATCATATCTATCATGTTTGTTTTAGAGGGAGCTAGTGTCAAAACCCCCACCTCCCCACCTGAATCTGTGTACCTGTTTTATAATTTTTGTGATAAACAAATGTATGTGCTTGCATGTAGTTATCATCATGAACATTTAATAAACAGTGATAAATAAGAGGAAAAATAATCTTTTGCAAAGCACTGAATAGCACAATATTATGGCCAACTGATTACTAATTTAACATGCTCAAATCCTATTTATATACACGTACAATTTAATTTTGCAAAATTTGTTTTGTAAACTTTGCTTATATTAGGTATTTAAAGTTATTGCCTTATACTGGAGGGACAAAATCACTTAGAGACAAATTTTAAAGATTTAACCTTTGAAAATGATGAATAACATCTACACCAAATAAATTTACTTTTGGCATCTAACATTTGACTTTTCATATGCAAATTTATATATAATGTTGTACAACTTTTGCCTTCATGTTGATTAACTTTTAACACTGAGCCTTAACTTTCAGGTCTCTTATTCCCCATATTCAAAAGGTGAGTTATTTCCCCTGAAGGGAACTCTTTTACTGTGTTTAATACGCATGCGCTATAAATAAAGTCACTTCCGCGGACGTTCTTGATGTAAACATGTTCATGGTGTATGCCTCTGTCATATGGAAAAATGTTATTGTGTTTGTGAATAAAAAGAAATCTTAACTGATTCGTATTTTTTTTAAATTGCCCACTCATAGTCTCTTTCTGGATTTGTATTAATCTGTGTAGTACTATAATAAGGTGCTGTGTGACCCCCCCCCCCCCCTTACAAAAAAAAGAAACAAATTACTATTAAAATGCTGATACATATTCGAATAGGCCTATTAAAAAAAAACCACAAACAAAAAAGCTAATTTTCGGTAGTGGATGTTCTGCAGACGGATCATCATTATTTACAAAATGTGCGGAACAAATTTTTAGTTATGAAGTTTTTACGAATTAATCTAGCCTGCTGCAGCCATATTTCATTGTATCTCTAGGAATTTTTTGAAGACTGATGACATGTCCATCTACAGTTTTACCTCTGAAATTGCTGCATATACAGCAGTAGTTCGTCTTCCGCTACCGATACCAAGAAACTGCGTTTTTGCTCGATTGTATGTCATAACATAGAACTTTTACTTACAATTAAGAACACATTTGGTGACAATTAAAGGCCTATTTCATTTGAATTAACCGTGTTTCTAGAATTTTCTATTTGTAAAATAATTGATTCACTATTTAGTATTAAAACTTTGAATGGAATTCTAAATGAATAATTTAATCTCATGCGCTCATGTAACGAAGAAAGACTAATTAAAATAGCATCGACCTGAATTCGTGTTACATATGTCGTATAAAGTCTGAGCTGCATTTAATCAAAGTTTTAGTGTAGGATCTAAGCATATGTACATGTATATTCCCGAGTAAAATACACATTTTGTTTTAGATCAGAGAATTGAGAGCAGAAACACGAAATTGATACAATAATTTCCTAGCGTATTTCTCGTTAATTAACTGAAAACAATCTTTTCTCAAGTGTTATTTATTTTTTTAAAATCCTTTCAGTGTAAGTACATGTATTTATTTTTATAAGTTATTCTTTTTTTGCAAAGTGTGTAAATAAACAATATCAGAGAGAGAGAGAGAGAGAGAGAGACTCCGTGTAACTGACATGCATGTACATCTGTGAAAAAATATATGTACCGTAATTTTATCGAATTCACAATTAAAAATTCTAATAATAATATTAATTTTCACAACTTTGGTTCATTTTCAACTGTTCAACCCATTTACATATTCTCTGTACCTGTACGCACGGAGGGGGGTGGGGTGCAGGGTCAAGGGGTTTAGCCCAACCCCCAATTTTTTCCCAATATTACTTTTTCTATTGAAAATGTTCATTGATAGACAGGTTGTCAACCCCCCCCCCCACCCCCACCCCCCCCCCCCCCCCCCACACACACACACACACACTCAGTTTATACTACGGTAAAGTTATATAAGGGAAATGTAGTATTGTATGCCAAGGAACTGGCACTGAAATAAGTATTAGCTTTTTCAACTTTGGGCAAGGTTTTTCTTTGCTTGCCAACTTTTCCAGGTAAGAAAAAAATATTTCTTTGGATAACCCCCCCCCCTTTTAAAGACGATGCTAGGTGCCTGGCTAATTCGTATAGCTTTCTAGAAAGGGGGGGGGGGCTAACAGACCCTTTATAAAATAATTTATTATCTAAAAAAATGCAAACCGTTTCCTTCTTTTAAAATTTTTAAATACAGCGTGTAAGTTGATCACTATTTTGTTGGATTATCGTAACATGTAGTCCGCGGAAGTTATGCTAGTGTTGAAGAGTTCCGATTTTGAGGGGAGATAACTCACTTTTGAAAATGGGGAATATCAATATTCTGAGTCTGCCAGTCGCCTGTCATACCCCTAATATATTGAAACACAGTGGTGGTACAGAGATTTGGACAATCTATCATCTACAGGATGAAGTCATGATCACAAACAAATAAGAAAATCTGTTCAAGAACTTCAAGAAACTGTCCACTGAGACATAAAAAATTGTACAGAGGCTATTTCAAAATACACACAAAGCAGGATTTGTCAAAGTTGTAAGTCCCTAGGGCCAGAGGCTCAAGGGAGTTTCTGATCAAAATTTGTCTGTTGTATATTCGTTTACTTATTGTGAGTATTGTTGCCCTTGTTGTCATCTTTGTATATAAACTTTCACATTCTCCACTGGGCCACTTTCAACCAATTTGGCACAAAGTATTCTTGAACAAGGGAATAAACATGATAAAGGTTATAAGAAAAAAGGTTTAAAGAAAATGCAATGCCTCTTCCTAAGGATAGTCCAGACATGAATGCTGTCTTGACATGTAAACAAGTAGCATATATAGATTTAATTGTTATCATTGCCCTGGAGGATTGGGTACAAAGCCCCGAAAGGTAGGGCGACAAAAGAGATAAAGATTTTAGCTCACCTGAGGAGAAACACTCAAGTGAGTTTCTCTTATCACCTGTTGTCTGGCCCAGAAAAACTGAAATTTATGTGGAAGCATCCTAGGGTAGTGTATATTGTAAATTGTTCAAATCATGAGCCCCAGGGTAGGACTGGGCCACAATAGGGAATCAAAATTTTACATAGAAATATGTAGGAAAAAAACTTTAAAAATCTTCTTCTCAATTAAGAACCACTAGGCCAGAAAAGCTGAAACTTATATGGAAGCATCCTACATTGTCCTAGGGTAGTGTAGATTGTAAATTGTTCAAATCATGACCTCCTGGGATAGGGCGAGGCCACAATAGGGAACACAAGTTTTAAATTGAAAGATATAGGAAAATACTTTAAAAATCTTCTTCACAGGAACTACTGGGCCAGAAAAGCTGAAACTTATGTGGAAGCATCCATGGGTAGTGTAGATTTTAAATTTTCCAAATTATGACCCATGTGGTAGGGTTGGGTCACAATATGTATTACTGTACAGTGGGGGAATGTGGTAAAGAACAGCATGGTCAAAGCTACTCAGGTGAGCGATTTGGCCCATGGGCCTCTTGTTAAGTACATGTATATTGAGTATATTCAATGTTTTGTAGTTGAATATGGAAATTATTTCATGTGTGGGACAGGATATTTTGTCTCATTAGTGAAATAAATTCCATATTATTCAAATACGAAACATTGAATTTTCTGTTTATTACATTTTCTTTGATTTTCCCTTTGTCTACCTCATTTTTGTAATGTAGTCATACGCTACATGATGTCATAGTTGAGCGGTCGATACGTCAGCTTAAAGTGAAAAACATTGTAAACATAAATTTCAGCAATTAACATATTTGGGGAATGTTTGCAGTCTTTATCTCTGTCAGAATGGTTTATTAACTTGTTCTCAGTCTTATAACAGGCCAAGGAATCTTTTTTACAACATTCCTTATTCCTCAATCTTATAACAGGCCAAGGAATATTTTTTACATCATTCCTTGTAATGGAAAGGAAAATCTGGAGTTTTCTCGCACTTCTGGTATTTGTCACTCTGTGAAAGAATATCATTTTATTTAATGAATAAATTACAGTATTTCACTGTTTAAAATGTAAAATATAATAAATTGGTTTATCTAATGTACATCTCAAAATTCTCAAAACACAAATGAATTTTTTAGCTGTAAGTGCTTTCTGTTACTTCATGGCTTTTTAATTCAGGCAAATACAAAATTCAGTACTGAAGACAATACCGTAAATCTGGAAATGTTTGCTGTAGATGAATTTTTAGCAAATTTGCGAGTTCATTGCATTCGCAAAAATATTTGTCTTAAAAATAAATTACCAATAAGAAAATGTAAACAAAGCAATGGTTATTCGCAAAATTTTGACACGTAAAAATTAATCAACACCATTTTGACCCGAATTCGCAAAATAAAATTGATGTAAAAATTTCGAGATTTACGGTATTCTGAATTGATAAATTTATTATACATGACCTTCTTAACTTCCTTGACATCAAAGAATGGAAACTAACATTATAATACACACTATTTCAAATGCCTTAATATTTCACTCTATTTATAGGTGTTTTTAACAAAGAAGGTTTAAAACCTTTATGGACATGGATTTTGAAACTTCTTAAAACTCTGGAAGGATGAGGAAAAGGAAACTGGCATTGAAATGGAACATGTTGGACAGGGTAATCACGGTAATGTTGTTGATTTTGAACATGCATGCAAAAATTTGGTATGATATTGCATATTACAGTGTATATTAAGATAAGTTCAACACATGCATTCATTAACTGACATGTATTTAAAATATGCCCTTTGTCCACAAAGAAATTTTAAAATCTTTTTATGAGGCTGATTGTATGAAATGATAGATAAATCGGCAGAATGCTTCACTTTTTTCTTATTTATTTAATTCGAAAATGAACATATGAAGAAAATGTACATGTCACATTGGGGAAGATGTTCAGTATTTTTGAATTGGATGTTGGAATTTGTATCTCAAATGGGAAGATAGCTTTTCAAAGAACATTTAGGTTTTGATTGAGATCAGCAATTTTCTTCAAGAATGATGCATTTGATATTACTATTAACAAATTTGAACAACCCCTTATTATTCAGAACTTACAAATACATGTACATTGTACTTCTGAAAACTGATTCTTGTTAGGTACATTCATATTTGTCCCAAACCAATTGAAGGCAAAATATTTTCAGGAGAATGGTTAGACTAAATGACAATCTCATATTCATGCAAAACTTTGCACTTTGCAGTCATTTTTGCAGATTCAGATCTGCACATTAAAAGGAGTGGATACATGAGTATTTTTTGAATTAAAATCTGGAATTCCTGACAAGATATGGCACAAATTAATGCACAAAAAATTCCTGTATCCACCCCGATATACTACTCCGTGGGGATCTGGGTTAGAATAGGTCCTCAGCACCCCCTTGCTTGTCGTAAAAGGCGACTAATGGGGCGGTCCTTCGGATGAGACCATATAAACCGAGGTCTTTTGTCACAGCAGGTGTGGCACTATAAATATCCCTCCCTGCTCTAAGGCCGTAAGTGCAGGGCATAGGCCTAAATTTGCAGCCCTTCTTCGGCATTGGTGACGTCTCCATATCAGTGAAATATTCTGGAGAGGGACATTAAACAGTATACAATCAATCAATCACCCCTATATACTGATTTGACACTGGCTGCATATTTTTTTTACACAGAAATATAATCTGACTTAATATTGTGACTTCTTTTTTGAATGACCCTCACCTAGGGATTATAGTCACACTTTTCCTGTGTAGAATGTTTAACATGTTAAAAGAAAATATGGTTGTATTTTACTTTCATTTGACATGTCTCAGAGAAGCATCATGGTCCATATAGCCTTATAGTCAATTATAAATCTGAGTACATTTTACACAATTTATTGTGCGATTATTTTAAAAGTTATTAAATTTTATGTATACAACAACAGACTGATGTGATATGCTGGAAATTCCTTATTAAATGCAAGGAATTCATTATTGCAATTTTGCATGTAGCATCACTTGCAAAATAAAATGTTTCACTTTCATTTTTATGGTACTGAAACCCATGCACATTTTCCTTATCAACCGACCATTCACAAATATATATTCCTGCGATTTAATGTTTTTAAAAGCTATTTTGCAATAATAAGTACTCACAAAAAATAAGGAATCTGCAGTATGTACATGTATAATCTTTGTATTGATGTTTGATTTTTTTTTTTCAAATCCAGATCATGCATTTATAAAAGATGACAGCATATCAGCACTACCTTAAGATTGGAGATGAGACCTTGTATTTTTTACACAGAAAATAAAGAACAGTTGCTGAATGAAACAGATACTCACAGAAGCAAATGTAATGAGCCCAAAATAATGGTGATCAATTTTGAATGATTTTATTCTCTGGTTGAAATGTTATTGAAATGATACATACTGATCCAATTTTAGAAGTGGTTGACAATGAATACTAAGTATTTTGTTGTATATAAGTATAATGGCTTATTTTAAAACTGTATAAAGCTTGCAATGATTATATCAAATGTAATGATTTTGTGTAGGAATCAAATTTTTTTAAGGATAAAAGATGTAATTTTTTTCAATCAGAATTTCCTAAAAAGACTCTCTAATGTAAATACATGTATGGATAATAGAAGATTATAATATTTTCTTTTACTGTCATTGAAATACTGTAATAATGAACTGCAATTTTACACAAAAAATGTTTTAACATGAAAGTTTCAAATTTCAAGGTTTATGAAGTTTGAATTGTGGCTCATATTGCTTTTTATTGAACTATCTCCCTTAACCTTAGATTTGTTGTGCATTCTATGTTATAAATTTAATTTTGGAACATGGGAAAGGTCTTGTTTTGAACTCTGTTGATTTTAATTCAAGCAGAGTAAATGTGTTTAATATATGTACCAATCTGATTAAAACCAGATCCTTGATCCGCTCCTTTGTTTTTTTATTGTCACTACCTCGTGTAGCGACAATGAAAAAACAAAGGAGCGGATCAAGGATCTGATTTTAATCACATTGATATATGTACATGTATGTCTGTGAAAATAATTGATCTTCCCTCAGAGTTATTTCCCTTGTTCACAGTGTAAAAAAAAAAAAAACTAAGAATGATATATGCATGACTGTTTTACAAAAAGCAAAGAGATAAATTTATTTTATATGTCCTCATTGTGTCCGGAATCTGCTTTTCTTACACGTATTAATGATGTTGAAATAAACTGTGATAATATTAAAAAGTATTTTTATATCATTGGAGCTGTCGCCAGAAGTGTTTGGCTAATACAGCTAGGGGTTTAAAATATTTCAGAGTGAGATTAAAATACAGAAATATGTTTTATATGGTAAAACATATATTTAGAAAACATCTTGTTGGATCTTTTTTCAAGTATGATCTCAGTTAAAAGGAACTGGATCCAGTTGTATCAATATTTAAACTGTTGATACAACCAGGTCCTGGGTGTAAAAAGAGCTTACATGTACATGTATATGTTCTAGATATTTATTTAAATGCTTTTTGGTCTATGAAAAAGGCACAATGTGAAGAAATGTGAACATTTTTATCCAAACTTGACATTGGGGGCAGGGATATACTAAGTATGTGTAAGAACATGATCAAATGACACCTACATGTAACAGTCAGCTACATTTAAAGGGGTTATGTTTTGAAGTATGCTAAATCATTCTAGGTATTACTAGGAAATTAGATTTGTGTGTGTGTGTGTGTGTGTTTTCATGCATGTTTTTTTTTAACAACCCCCCCTCTCCCCATCCATGCCTTCAATAAAAATATCCTAAGTGTTCTGGAAAATTTATTAAACCCTAGAGATAGGGTTTAAAATAAAGAAGTATGAAAATGGGAGAAAAAAATATTGAGAGGCAGGATGGATGGGTCTCATCCTTCCTTTCCAAATAAAATGAAGTTGTGAAAAAGAGAAGAACTTGTGTTTGTTTCAAGGGGGGGGGGGGGGTAATTTCCTGCATGTGTAACCAACTTGACATGTTTAGGGATCCAGGTTTTGAGTTTCTGAGTCATTTAGATTGCATGTAATTCATGATCAGTACTCATAAAAAAATATTTTTGTATCATTTAATATTAATTTAATATATACTTATAGCACTAGCTCTGAAATCCAAATAACTCCAAGCCCCCCCCCCCCTTCCATGCCCGGATGGATTTATTGGATAATGGAACCCTAAGTATTAAATGTTCCTGAACCATGATGACGAAAATCTTGTTAACATTTGATGTGTATCTTTAACTGTATAAAGGAATTGCTCGTAACTGGTTTGTCAAGATCTGAGTTGTATACAGAAAAAACAGACTATAGGTGTAAACACTCTCCTTTACTGCGAACCTAATGACCTTTGACTAGTTCAAGAGAAACCACGTGATGTAAATTTAAATAACAATAACATTAGTAGGGGTGTCTATGATACATTTCTCAATATTCCTTACATTCATTTGAAATTAAAACTGACAAAGGTTTATCATCTCATAATTTATTACAACAACAGTCTAACAAAAGCAAGATTAAGTACAACTATAAAACAGCCGGGGTCATGTGGCAGGAATAGTTCCCTTCAACATCCAGGAATTGCCTTTCTGACCACAGTAGTCCTGTAAAAGATAAAGACCAGCATCTTACTACCCTTTACACATAACGAAATTGAATGTACATTTCAACAATCTCTGACGGGAATCTGAAGAAATTTCTTTTTGTGACTAACAACTTAATATTTTCATTTACCCAGTAGTCAAGGTAGTAGCTGGCCTACCAAGTAAACTTTAAATAGAGAATGTTCATTTTTCAGCTGTTGCCTGAAAACTTACCTTGAGTAACAGAATGTTTACAGCTGTTGCCTAGTAACTCTCCTTGAGTAACAGAATATTTACAGCTGTTGCTTAGTAACTCTATTAAACAGAATCTTTACAGCTCTTGGCTGGTAACTCGACTTGAGCAACAGAATGTTTATAGCTATTGTCTTGTAAACTCACCTTGAGTAAGAGTTTTGTGTCCTGTTCTGAGAGAGTTAACCCACATTGCTCCTCTACCAGCTTCATAAACTGTTTCCTGTTGATTTTATGACTAGAGGTAAAGTAGTTCAACAATACGGCACGGGCCTGTTAAAACAAAACAGAAACTGTATACCAAGACATATTCGCTGTAAAATAAACACACACTCAATTTGAAATATACAAAATAATAAACTTTAAGACAACAGTTTTTATAGATATGTAAACTTGTTGATAATTTCAAGTAATACTAAAAGTAGACATGGTAGAAACATACAGGGTCCAGTTTATCTCCAGTTTTTGGTAAGGCGTATATGGGTTCTTGTTGAGAATTTGGTGGCCACTGCAAAGAACACACTTAGATATACACTATCATTACGAATACAAATAAATATTCTGCACACAGTATCACCTATAAATGGTAAGACATATATTTCCTCAATGCAAAATCAAATTTCAGTATCATAAAAGGATGTTTTCTTCACTTTAGATTTGTTTTCCATATTAAAAAAAGTTCTTCTTCCTTGGAACAGTTCTATGGTATACAATGATACTGGTATATTTTTTTTTACTACTAGATTTACATCTATGAAGCATTTTCCTATCTACTGCATGTACATGTACAACATTGTGACACACAAGTCATCATGCTTTTTAACTCTGCATATGAATACAACTGAACACACAATAGGTGCACCCCACATTATTTTATTTTTCTATAATCAATGCTTGCAACCATCATATCACCTTAAAATAGAAACAAACTTTGCTATTTTTAATATTTACAATAGTACTTATCTTTACTTTTGTGAGACTGACCTGGTTTTGTAGTAGCACCCCTCCCACTTTCAGGGCCGACTCCTCCAGCATTTTATCCGACACCCCTGTAGCCAGAATTTGTCCTGGGGGACTCTGAGCCAGATGCATCTGAAATAATCTTTGAAGTTCACTTGCACTAACCACAAATCTTGTATTTAGTTTCTCCTTCACAAAATTGAGGATTTCCAGTTTAAATTCGGGAGAATCGGAGGAGTTTTCTCCCTTGGTAGTATCACAGTTAGAATCAGGGGTGACCTCTAGGGTACCGTTAAAGTTTGAAAGTTTAGATGAGGACACTTCCATTGGCTCCTCTTTCCTGGAAGAAAAGTCGTCATGGTTTTCTAGATCCTGTTTGATGGCATCCATTTCAGCGTCACTGTAGTCGGACAAAGACCGACCACTTAATGTCCGTTTTCTGCGGGTCCCTGTTGAGGACCTTGAGGAGTTTCTGCGTCGTCTTGCTGGCTTTTCCCCCGGTGAAATGGGTGGTTCTTTAAAATAAGTTTTGTTCACATTATTTCATAAGAATATTTCATAATCAAATATTCGCTTTTTCTTTATAAAGAACTAAAATATTGCAGCATTGTTTTTCATTAATGAATAATCCATGTTTGAATTATAAAGTAAAATTTGTCAAATGTTTATTCCAATCAGAATTGGAAATTTTGCAAAAATAACCCTCTTGCAAAGTCTTCTAAACAAAACTAATAGCTTTGATTATTTTCATTTTAACTACATGTATACCAAAGTACCTTTGTCTTTGAACTTCTTATCATGTTCCTTGGGGATTTTCAGAAGTTTGGCCAGACCCTGGTATTTAGCTTCCCATAACATTTTCTGTCTTTGAACAATATCTGGATACCTGTTTTTTTTCAGAAAATTACATCTCTATTGGCAAACATATTGTATACAGCTGAATTTTGACATCTTGAACTCTGATATCTCAAATGTGATGGATATGTTGAAGTGATTATTATTATTTATTAAACATATGGCATATTAACCTCTATATTTCAGACTTTCGGATATCTGTTTTTTCTTGGTTCCAAGGAGTTTAAGAAAATGAAATTTGACTATACATATTCACTGGTTTTAATATAATGAAGCTGATGATAAGTTTCTATGAAAGTTTATTTAACAGTAAAGTTAAAAACTATAGAGACTGTGAGTAGACTCAAAAATAATACTAGTAATCCTTTTCACAAGTATTTTCTTGGTTTTAAATGGTATATTTCACCTTACCTGCATGTAAAATCTAAGTCATATGTAAACAGGAATTCCCAGCCACAATTGACTCGAATATGTGAAATTTGTTCAAGGATATCTTTGACATCCTCAGCTGGTAGCTACAATATAAATATATTTATTTCATTTACAATTTTGAAATAAAGTGCAGAAAACATGAATAAAAAGATTACAAAGAAATTTGAATGCAGCATCGTACCTTGACAATGGAAGCTATATCCTTTCTTGTGACATGTCTAGACTGGGTGAACCTCCACATCTGGGGAAAAAAACAACAACAGAGAAATATTTACAAGAACTGAATCTCTCAAATTTAAAAGTGATTAAGTAAGTGCATTCAATACTGTTACTGTAAAATCACATATTTTCGTGGGGTCAAAATTTCGTGGTGTGGGTAAAAACTCTTAGCTTGTGGGGATTTGAATTCGTGGATGAAGAATGGTTCAGTGGTTATGCATGTAACATTTTAAATTTCATGATGAACATGAATTCGATGGCCTCTTCATACCTCGAAAAGAATGAAAATTAAACCCCCAAGAATATTTGTGATTTCACAGTGTATGATAATATAATATTCATTAATGTATAAATAATTCTATTATGTAATGAATTTTTAGTCTGGGTGAATTAGAACACTAATGATGCTATCAAAGACACTACAATTTTAGCTCTACTCAGTTAAATACAGGTAAAATTATTCCTGAAATTTCAGTACCCGGTAATTTACCACAATAACTATCTCTACACTAAACACTTACCACATAGTCTCTACCTCTACAGAGATGCTCTGCTGACACACCACTGTGGGGACTGGTAGCCTCTTTTGGATACAGAATCTCACTGTTCATAAAAGTATAATATGAAATTCAGTATGTATATTTCATATACCCATATAAACATTTAAAAATTGTTAATCAAGTGTTGCATAATTAAGAAGAGAGAGAAAATCCCATCCTCAAAATTGGAGTGCTCACCATCTGAAAGACAAATTAATTACTAAGAATTCTTTAAAAATCAGTTTGGAGTGCAT